GGGGTAAACGGAAGGGGGGAGTCGAAGGACATAGAGGCTTTTTTCGTTGTCGGGGGGGGAGGAGGTTTCGTTGTATATCTAAAATGCACGTAATGCGTAATGTTCCCATAACCCAGATCCCAAACCCATTATAATAGTAGATCATCAAGGAATCACCATAGGAGAAAGGGAAAATCCAATCCAAACAGAAAGAGAGAGGGCATATACTTGGGAATGTAAATATCAAAACAAGTGAAAGAACAGCAGAGACAGATTTTTTTTTAGTCGTCTGTTAGCTGTGAGAAATAGTTGATGCTCAGGATCATGCAGAGCAGACCGATGGAGACGATGATGAAGAACGCAAAGCCGAACCAGCCGAGTAACATGGCTGAAGTCCCGACTCCGCTCTTGACGCTGCCGTTCCCCAGGTCTTGCGCTATTGTGCTGGCTGCTACCGAGGCCGTGTGCTGCCAGAGGACGGATACCAGGATGAACACAGAGGCAACAAAGATCAGAGCGAGGGCGACTTGCGATACCGGGCGGGATGGGAATGGCTTGACTTCAATGTCTGAGCCCTGGTTGTTGAGTTCCTCGTGCCAACCAGGGAAGGTTGCGAGTAGGAGGAACGACAGGAACGCGAATATCAGCGCCACGATACTAGTCAAACTCAATTAGTTTATGCCGTTCCTCTTTTTATATATATATTCAAGGACACTTACATGAGATATGGAAATACGACTGCATCCTTGAACGTTGATGCAACCCAGATCAGGTTCAGCGGGTCACTCTCCACACCAAAAGACTCCGCAAGGATAGTCGCATTCTGATTGCACAGGAAACCACCGCCGTTTCGTTGTATGCAGATTCCGAAGTAGCCAACTCGGACTTCCAAGTGAGCACCTCCCACGATGTTTGAGATTGTAGATGATAACCCGGGATCAGCCTGAGCGGTACTCATTACAGGCGGGTATTTGTCGTAGAACATAGATATCAGGAAGATGCTAGGTATTTGCGGAGATGACGAGGAGCAACCAGCAAGTAGCAAAGCTAGGATAGCATGTTTATGTTAGCAATCGTTCTAGGTCATACCATCAAACGTTTAACTTACATAGTAGTAGAATAGAGATGGCAACGAATAACATGAGGACATGGTGGTATCCCACCATGGGAATAAATCCTTAACAATAAACAAGTTAGCTTTGTCTCTTTCAAATGTGTCGTGTGCCATGTCAGTAAAGGGCCACTTACGCCCAATTCCCGCCATAAACCGCATCTCTGGCATCTTAAACTAATCCAGCCTTATGCCCCAACCTTTCCCTTTCCCAAGTCTTTTGCTAGGCCCTCCCAGGGAGTCCGACTCCTGCCCCTCAGGGTCTCGGAGGCCTGTCCAGCTACTAGTCCAACCAGATGAGGAGCCGAATACTCCTACTCAACACCGCGCACACAGGTCGAACAAAAGATGATGATATTTTGCGCGAGAGGTAAGGCGACCTCTTTACCCAAGGCAGCAATGACTTTTTAAGCGCTCGTAACGAAGGCGGTCGCAAGGGTCGTGTGTGGTCTTGGTACTAGGAGATGGTTAGGAGCCTCGAGCAGGAGTGTCTTTTCTGGCTGACGGGCGGAGGAGAGGTAAAGGTGAGGTGAGTGAGTGTTGGATGGTGCAAGAGAAGGAATAAGAGGAGAAAGATCGCAAAGCTCGTAGCTATGAGAGAAAGAAAGCAATCCAACAGCCCGTTCCAAGATCCGTAGACCTGTGGCAAGCGAAGGAAGTAGATGTCGCCGGTAAAACGGTCGAGATGGATATTTCTTCACAAAGGGTTTCTTGTGAAGACGGAGAATAGAGGAAGAGAAAAAAAAAGGAAGAAGAAGAAGAAGGAGGAGAAGAAGAAGTCACTTGAAAGAAAGCGACTCTCTGCTGCGATGCGGTGGCTGGAAGGGTATCGCCGTCGCCCAGGTCTTTGAAGCATCAAAAAGTCCGTGGCTGGGCCAACGAGGCGTCTTTGTTTACCCGCCCTGGTTGCCGGGGCAACGTCGCCTCACCGCCCTTGGCAGAACTTCCCGTCCGACAGGTACCACGTGGGGCGCGCTAGCCTTATCAGGACTAGACACGTGTCAAGGTTACGCCAAGCAATTAACGTGCATGCATAAGCATAAAACGCTCCAATCAGAAGAGTACATAAACACTGCATAAAACTCCATACAAAAACCCTTGTTGTTCGCTCTCAAATCCTCTCCAGACGCCAAATGCGCTGTGCCTTTTGCCCAGTCAGCCAAGTTCAAGATGGATTTTTCCAGCATGACAATAAAAGAAAAATAACTCCGGTCGTCCTCCTGTGATCCGTTTAACTCCTGCTAGTTTGTGTTATTTTATATTCCCGAACACAACAAGACGCGGGCTTCAAAAGGTCCAAATGCCAAAGAAGATGAAAAAGAGTC